TTGTCCTACCTTCCCAAGTACAAACCCATTCAACAAGGAGCAGAAGGTGGCCAGAGCTCCAGTGAAGAAGTAATCAGGAGGTGGCAGCAGTGCATGGTGAGAATCATAAGATGGAAACTGTTGTTAAAGTGTTGCTAGTATATGGTCTCTCTTAACTCAACATAGACACAAGCATATGGACATAACTTTCAGTGTACAGTATCTGTATGAAAATAATGCCTAGAAAACTTGAGCTTGGCACAGAAATAGTACATCACTTGAACAAAGACTATAAAATAATGGAAACTTGAATATAAGAATATTAGCAATGTCATCATACAAATTCATACTATTACAGCTGTAAGATCACAAGACAACTTCTACCTTCAGAGAATATTAAAGCTATTAAAACATATTCCTCACATGGGATATTATATGTAATATGGTAAGAATGGATAGGAATTAATTTTCTTTTCTGAAGAGTACAGTTTTCTGGGTTATGATGTTATGTAATTCAGACAGCCAAACATTTCAGAGGAATATATTACCTCCATCCTTATGATCAAAGACTAAGCCATGGAAGACACCAACAGGAGCAGGTGGTGGCAAGGTGAGTTCAGCTGAAGATGAGGTTATGTGTTACGAGATATGCTCTCCTAAACTACATGGTGGTACAACCCAGGAGACCATACTCTTTATAGTCACAACTGTGAGAACCTCAAATCCAACTTTATTTTCTGTGTATCGTCACATGTTAATGACTATACATGGAGTTTGGATTGGTAATTGGATTTATCGAACACCTATAACTTTTAACTACAAATAGTTATAACACTATCACTAATCTACACACTTCCCATGTCACTACAGCACACACCAAGGCTTCCCAGTCAGCTGTGTCTTCATGTGCTTCTTGCTTGATAGCAGCTCCCAACAATGTCTCTGCTTACATCATTTCCGGCTCTCTGCCATCTCACAGCTGGTCCTCAACTGTCAATTTCTAGCCCTGTGTGTCCATTGCTGGCTAGCACTAACTCATGACAGCAAACTAACTACAAGTGATCGGTTAAATTGCTTCTGACCCTCATCAACACAGTCATTCTTGGCTTAAGGTCTCATTGAGATCCATGACCAAGATTTTTGTTCTCTTCTGTACATATATGTGTTTATAAGTGGGGTCTCCTCTTCGATGAGGAGAGGGGTTGGTCTTTCTGTGTAGGTGTTATGTTTGTTGCACCATAGTTTCAAAATGAGTACAGCCACACTTATTGAGAAAAGAAGCAAATTAGCCCAATGAGATTTGTCAGTAATTCTAATTTTAACAATTTATATAGTAAGCCAGAGTGCCATGTTCTGTCAAAGGCTTTATTGATATCCAAGAATACAGCAGCTGTCAACATATTGTTGAAATTCACTGTGATGTGATTCACCTGCCTCGTACATTTAGTCATGCTGTGATGATCTTGAAAGCCATTGACTTGTATTAAAAAGTTTCCTTCCTCAATGTGTTTTTGGATTTTCCTTAAAATCAGCTTCTTAAATTGTTTCCCTGTATTGGACAAGAAGCAGATCGGATGTAAGTTTGGGGGAAATGTTTGGTCTTCGCCAGGTTTTGGCAGAGACATGATTTCTGCCTCCTTCCAAGGTGCCAGGAAGTGACCATGTCGAACGCAGTGATTGAGTAAATGTGTTAAATGCACAAGAGGTCTTCTTGGAAGATGCCAGAAACATTCATTTGGAATACCATCAAAACCACATGCTTTTCTTAATTTCAATTATATTTCTTTTGAAACTAACGGGTGTATTCATCTATAGTAGCCAGCAGGGCTTCCACTTTATCCTCCACCTGTCTTCTACCATCACAGTCATGCACTATGGACTTGTTTTCTAAGCAGTCTGAAATTATGTTGGCTTTATTGGTTGAATAAAATTGGAGGCTTAAGGGACCATGAATTGCAGTGGTGCCTTTGGTCCACCCATTTTTGTGAGAGATTTTGCAATAAGCCACATTGCTTGAGATGTGATTTCGCAGTTTGCTAGCTTTGTTTCCCATCTTTCAAATGCTGTTTTCTGATCATTCTCCTGACATTCTGAGTTACGCAGTTTACTATCCTTTTGCATGCTGGATCCCTGGTTTCTTTCCATAATTTTCTGAGCTTTCTTTGTTATTCAATAAATGATCTAGGCCAGGTATTTTGTATGAGTATTTCCTGTGTAAAATTATATATATATAGTATGCCATTTCTATAGAGGCTGCAAAGTTACAAGCTTCTTTATGAGCTACATGAGAAGTATGAATTTGGATATTTGGAGATGTTAGTTCAAAGTCAAAACTTTGAAACAACTCCCAGTCTGTCAGTTTTTCAACCGGATCTGCAGCTTCCAGTGTTCTAACACAACCCAGAATGCTAAACACTGTTGGTAGGTTATGTGAGTCCAGGATATCAGTGGCAATCTTTGACAGTCAGAAATTCTGATGTACCAAAATGTTGAGAACATCACCTTTGCCATCAGGTGTGTACTGCATTAAGCACTGTGGATTTGAAATTTCAGAGCTGTAATTAACAAATAATTCCAAGAGCTTCAAGCCTGAGGGATTTGAAACTTTATAAGTGCAAATAGGGTGCTTTGCATTCAGGTTACCTATCAGGATACACTTATTTCTAGAACCTAATACCTCTGTGGTGTCTGTCTCACTCCATAGTCTTTGCTAAGATTTATAAACAACTACAAGCAACATTTCAGTGTTTTCAATCAGTGTGTAGACTCCTGCTGTTTCTACTGAGTGGTGAGGAAGTACATCTGCTCATCTGAGAGGGATGCCTTTCGTAACAGCAATGGCAGACCCACTTTTCTGCTTGTCTTGGCAGCCAGTCCAGCCAGTTTAGAATATATGACTTAGTATGAAGTTTCAGATATGTCTCTCAAAAGAGTGCCACTTCTATTTCTTAAGTTCTGGAAATGTTTTCTGATATTTGTCTTACTGCTGTTAGCATTAAATGCTATAATTTTCAGAGGTCTATGAACTGTTGTTTGCATCATTCCTCAATAGTCTAAACAGCGCTTTAGTTATGACCCCCCGCAGCGCTTGTGGCTCTGTCGTAATCTGCTGCAGCATATTGAAGGAATAGAACATGTCCCTTGCATTTATTTTGAACCTGTATTGAATGACCTAAGGCTTTACTGGTATCCTGATGCATATTGTTTCATGAAGAATGAGTGCTGCTGTTTTTGTTGTGCAAGTTGCTGCTGATCAGAGCTATGGAGAACAGCAGCAAATGATCAATTGGGTGTTGTATATTTTGAGAAAAATTTTCTCCCTTCTAACCCCAATTTTGTTGCCCACAGGTTCATTCTGCACTGTAATTCCTGTTTTACATGGCTATAGCTTCTGTAACTTGCTGGGTATGGTGATTCCCCTTCCTGTAGGTCACAATTGCAGCAGGTTTTGGACACTCCTGAATTATGTTTCTCTGGGCACACAATGCCCAAACCGCCCCACATCACAGGCAGTTCACCCAGATGTGACTAGAAGTGTGCTGCCACAGTATGGCTCATAACCCTTGCAGCCAAGCACACTTTCATGGTGTTCTGTGCAGTAGGATTGAGGTGGGTGTCTGTCAGCTTGTACATCTGATGAAACAATCTGGGCTTGTTGAGCTCATACAGTTTCAATATGTGTTCCAACTTAAAAATAACAGGAAGTTGTTGCCCAGATGCTTAAACTTCAGGAGGTGGGGAGGATCATATACTGTTGCAACAACCTTTAGTCCAACATTCTGACAGGCATCAAGAACCTCCTTCAAGTATTGCACAGTCACCCCTGCCTTAGTGCTTCTATGAGTAAAGTAGGAAGCCACTAGGTGCTTCTACTTTCCACATAGGCCATAGATCATGAAGACTAGAGCATGATTTGCAATGTTGCATGTCCTGCCCTCTGATTGAAATGTAAATTATCTCTGCCAGACAATTTTTGCAGAGAATTTTGGAAGGCATGAAATACATGAGCACTGATGCTTGTCCTAAATGGAACAGTATTTAGGACAGACTGCAAGGATTGTCTGGATGGAAGGGGGAGTAGTGTGTATGGAGAAGGATATGGGATCTGGGGCTGTGTTTAAGGAGAGATGAGCCTACACTTTGTCATCAAAACTTCACCTCCTACCCTTAGGCCTGCCTATTGTTCTTAAAAATTGCTGCCAGAAATCTAGCAGCCTCTAAACCAGTGGTTCTCAAACTTTGTCAGACTGTGGCCTGGAAAACTTTTTTCTATAAGATGGCCTGATACCAGGCCACAGCCTGTCAGTTGAGAAACACTGCTCTAAACTGAAAGATGATGAAAGATCCTCCATCACTGGATCACTGTCCACATCACAGAGCTTTTTCAACTTCTTTATCTTGTATGTCTTTTTGGGTTTACAAAGTGCACTCTCCTTATTCAGAATACGAGTATATTCTCACAGTTTCCTTTTCTTCAGTGTCAATTCTGAAATCAAACTGATATTAAGTTCTTTTAGCAGAAAATGTCTTGTTCTAGGATTCGAGGAAGCACTTTGATGATTGATATGCTTGAATTCGTCAGAAGCATTTTACAGAGCTTAGGAGAAAAGAGGTTTCTTTCGCTGAGAAGGTGCTGGCTGCTGTTGGTGCTAGTTGGATGTGCTGACATTTCAAGGTAGTGGAAGGACTGTTTGCATCCTTTGCATGGATAGGAACAGACAGATCAGGTGTTACAGAAGAGGGTACCAGTGTCTTGCTGTAGGTTCTGGTGGGAGGTAGGACAGGAAGGTCAACTTCAAGTTCAGGAGCTTCAAGAGTTATGACAGAAGGCAAGGGATTGAAGGAAAAGGTATGTACTGAACCTTGAACATCTGATTATGAGTATTTGTGTTCACACGTTCAATACTAAACGGAATAATAATTCTTTCAATTCTTTATTATTTATGTGCCGGGTCATGAGATACTTGGCCAATTATAATACACAAATATTTTTCTATATAAAAAAAGTCATGGCGGCCATGTTACCCAGAAAAAAACTGAGTTCCACGGTTCCCACAGCGTTAGTTGCGCAGGAGAGGACGTTAGTGAAACCATTTGGGAGACAAACGGTGAATTTACAGCAGATTTTTAAAACTTTAAGTGTTTGCTGTAGTTAATTGCAGAGTGTGAATTAGCGATAGCACTATAGTCACTAGTAGTTACCACTGTAAGCGTTGTGTAAGTCTTAATTTAAACTCCTGTAGTCATACACGTGATAAAATGTTATCTAATGTGACGGAACAAGATCTGTAAGACTGGAAATTTTCAACAGAAAAATAAGTTTTATAAGTTATTTGGAGAACACCATGCTTCCTGACTCAAATTCCATCGCTGGTATATGTGTAAATCTTGGGGAGTTAATTCATGAAGATTTCGCCCCTTCACGTTGCTTGCCTGCCTTAACTCTTCGACCCAGAAAATGAAGAAAATAAAGATAATTAGATAGGTATTGATCCGTGGCAATACTCAAGATTTTCAGCTTTCAAGACATGTAAAGTTCGAAATGTTATTTGTATGGCGTTGGAAACTACGTTAGTCTCCTTATGTAATAAATTCGTATAATGTTATTGATTCACAAGCCATACAGTTTCTTATATTGATTACAAGTGAGCTCCTATTTGTTTAAATAAGATGGTATAGAGATGATATTTTCTGTTCGCAGAATAAATCGTTGTAGGGGATTTTTGACACTGATAGTGAAGTTTGAGGCGGAATTAAGATGGCGGATCCACTAAGTTTGTTGCGACAGTATAATGTCAACAAAAAGGAGATTATAGAACGGGATAATCAAATTATATTTGGTGAATTTTCCTGGCCGAAAAATGTGAAGACAAATTACTTAATGTGGGGGTAAGTACTTAACATTTTTCGAGTTAAAAACAAAGTTTGTAGTTACTTACCATATCGCTTAAGTTGCAGAAGTAGAGTAGAAAGTATGCAATGATAATTGTATCAATTGACAGTTGAGGTCTTGCATAATTAATATTCACTTTGTTTCTGAGTGTTGACCTATATTGACTTTGACAATACAGTCTGTGAGTGTGGAAATAGTAGAAATATGTTTGAAAAGGGTCGATTTTCTCATGAAAAGGTAGGAAATAGTGAATTAATCGATGGATATGAAAAGGTAGGAAATAGTGAATTAATCGATGGATTTTAAATAATTGTACATTTGCTGGGCCAGATGTAGTGGAAGTTAAAATATGAATTTAAAATGAACAAAATTGTTAAAATTAACAATTTTTTTTAATAGTGTCGCATATAAGGAGTAGGAATGACAAATATTTGTTGGTTCTGGAGTTGATGATTGGATTTATTGGCGCTTTTTTACAATTGCAGTTGATTATAATAACTCGCGCATTGAACAACTTGTTAATTGTGTCTGTCTGATGAATCTCTCACTGTTATCTAAATCTTGGACTGGTCTCTAGTCTCTAGAATTCTGAATCGAAGTCAAAGTCACATTGCGACTGAGAGTCAGTCAGTCAGTCCTGGTGTTGAGCCCCATCTGGAGCTTATGACCAGATATTTATTACTGTTTGACAGTTTCGGTCTTGTTATTGTGGAGGGTGCTCTCAGAGGAGAGGACAGGTCTGCCTTTTGTCAGAGTCATTGTCTGCAGTAGTAAGTCATTTGTGATAATGTAAAGGATATTTACATTTTACATGTTAAGCACGTTAATAGATTTATATAAAATATATATACAGGGTCTCTGTGAGTCCAGGCTCAGTACAGCAGATTATGCCCTATTTCTAGTAGCTTCTGCTACAACGGCAGTCTATAGTCACTTGATGAGTTCAAAGTCAAAGTCAAATTGTGACTGATGGTCAGTCAGTCAGTCTTGCTGTCAAGCCCCATCTGGGGCTCATGACCAGACATTTATTACTCTTTGACAGTTACAGTCTTGTTTTTGTGGGGCGTCCTCTCTAACGAGAGGGCGGGTTTGTCTTTTTTGTATGCTGCTGGCCCTTGCCAGTGCAGTCTTTCTTGGGTCTGGGACTCGTGACCATATTTTACTGTCTCAGATTTGAGACTTCCCTGTGACACCTCCTATGACTCGCAGGGTCACACTGGAGGTATTCGACTCCGCCTCCACATGGGTTTTGACGAATTCTCTACTCCCACTGGCTTGTATAAGCCTCCAAGTATACTGTTCTGTTCTTTGAGAATTGGTTATGTCAGAAACCATGTACACTTGGTCATCGACTTATGCCTGGCCGCACTTATGACCACAAAAAGGTGATAAATAAATAAATTAATAATAAATCAGGATGTGCTACTGAGGCACATCGATGTTGGGAGGCCTGAGGACACCCCCAGGCAGCTGCGCGTATGATAACTATGGGAGCATCTAGCAACACGGGCCTCTCACACATGCAGGCATGCTCTCTCTCTCGCATACACTCAATTGCTTTGAAGTATCTGTTACCGGTGGTGTATTAATTAAAATTCTACTGAACTACTACCCATAAAATGTCTAGTAAAAGGAAAATGCCTTCATTCACGGATATGCCAGCTAAGAAGTCAAGGAAAACTATTGATTTAATGTGTAAAATGAAAATTATCCAGCAGTATGGAGGCAGAAAGAAAGTGAATATGAAAGCCGTGACTTGAAGTTATCACATTCCACAGTATCGACAACACTTAAGGACAAAGAAAGAATTCGGGAAGCTGTGTTAGGTTCTGCACCTATGAAGTCTACAGTTTTAACCAAACAACAACAGGGACCCATCCATGAAATGGAGAAATTGTTGTTTATGTGGATGGAAGATTTAATACAAAAAAAACACTCTTCCTTTACAGGTCTGGTAAAGATGGAGCCCCGAAGGAGTACTACACATTAGAATGTTTGTTATTCTTATTGAAGAATGTCACACTCACACATCCTGTATGTGTGCGCCAAGCTGCTGTAAGTATATGTCTTAATGAAGTTGACATGTAAGTAAGGAAACTAGAAATTTGTTTACACTAACCACTAAATTGTCTATGGGTGATTGCAGGCAGAAAACATTCCTGTTGTACGGCGACCAGACAGGAAAGATTTGCTGGCCTACCTGAATGGTGAAACTGCTGCTTCAGCCAGCATTGACAAGTCAGCACCTCTTGAGATTCCCACACAGGTGAAGAGGGCAGCAGAAGATACTCTGGAATCAGTTGCCAAGAAGCCTCGCTTTGAAGAAACGCAGGTGCAGAAGGTGAAAGAACAGCTTGCAGCTAGGCTTGATGCACCCAAGGAAGCCTCTGTAACAGTTGACAACATCAAGTGAGTGAAGCAGGAAATTGATTACAAAATTGTTAATATAATAATGTCCCAAATTGGTGTATGAGAAGCTGTTCATCTGTAAAGTATTAAACAAAATCAAGTGTGTATTTGTTAAGAGTTGTGGGGTCCTATTTGATAAATGGATTTCAACCTGTTGACATTACCATATATGCATATAAAATTTATAGTCAGAAATGAACTGTGTTTGCCCCATAAAAAATTTTGTACATTACTTTTTTTTGGGGCATGCAGTAGCATAGTTGGTTGAGGCACTATGCTACAAGCCGGAAGGTCACAGGATCGAATCCTGATGAGGTGGATTTTTTCAATTTACCCAATCCTTTGAGCCGCATTGTGGTCCTGAAGTCGGCTAAGCCTCTATCAGAAATAAGTACCAGGAACATTCTTGGGGGTAACGGACAGCCGGCACGTAAGGCTGACAACCTTACTGCCATATATGAGGTGTTGTCTAGAGAAAATGTGGGAATCTCAATGTCTCACAACACTGGGCCTATGGGCCTGTTATGGGCTTTAATTACTTTTACTTTTACATGAATTTATTTTATATATGTAACTTTACAGGCATAAAAGCTTATCTGGTTCATACAAGCAGACTTTTTACTCTGAATCTATCTTCACTTTTTAGGTCTTTGTCAGAAGCAATGTCCGTAGAAAAAATTGCTGCCATCAAAGCTAAACGTCTGGCAAAGAAGAGGACAACTATAAAAGGAAACGATGATATAGGTTTAGGCTCAGATCTCCGTGTCATGTTAGATTTTGATGTTGATGTAACAAAAGATATAATCTCCAGAGAACGGCAGTGGAGGACACGTACAACTATCCTTCAGAGCACTGGGAAGGTAACTGATAAGTCTTTATTATATTGCAACATGTAGTACTAAGAACAAAATTATAATTTTTGTTATAATTGCAAAATTGCCCAGTATCTCTTAATGAGCATATTATCTGCAGTTTTCATTTGTGAAATTATTACTTTATTCTTTTTCATTACAAGAGTCCTGAGTGAATTGTAAAATATTCTAAAAGAGATGTTCAGCCTATTTCAAGACCACTGTTATAATTATTATACATCAAATTTGCATGTACATTCAAAATTCACACACATTTTAAAAAGTTTGTGCCTGATTTCATATACAGTTAATGTTGAATATAGTGTCTGTACTATTTGACCAAAATGTTGAACTTCAATGGAATTGTGTGACATTACAATACAAAAGATTGTACACATGCTACTTTATATTAAACTGATGTATTAAGTGAACATTTTTTTATTCTCTAGATTTTTGCAAAGAACATATTTGCCATCCTGCAGTCAATTAAAGCTCGAGAAGAAGGGCGGCACAGGCCTCCACAGCCTACACCTATTGTCACCCCACGAGCAACTCCCATCAGATCCATACCCCAGCCTGCTATGTACAACAGATACGATCAGGAGAGGTTCATCCGACAGAAGGAAGGTCAGGCATATTGAAAATATTATATACTGTTATGTTTTTATAGGTATGCTTGCAGAGGGGTTGATGAATAGGCAACATATTGAATCTCTGAGTACAGTTACAGGCTGTTTTTTCATTGGCACTTCCATGGATAGCTTGTCAAGAAATACTCATATATATATTTTTCCAGGGTCGAATATCACATGTTTTACATCCATTTGTGACCTATTTATTTACTCTCCCTCGTATGATGCCCCAGAGTTTGCTGGTTTCATGTTGGCCATACATCTAGCCACCAAGTGTGGATCATATCGTGAAGTCTCTTCTGTTTGTATTTTCGTGACGTCCAGTCTGCTGCTAGGCTGGAACTCTCCTCTTGCTCATACCTGCATGAGGTTGACTCAATGAATACTGTGTAACTGCAGGCACACAACTCAATTCTGTGCTGTTGCTGCAGTGAATGTTTTAGTGGACTGCTGCTTTTGCTTTACTGTCCTGCATCCCCTTTCTCAGTGACACCACACAGCTGTGTACTGCTCTGATTGCTGAATATAGCATTCATGACACTGCTCCATATCCGACTCCTGTGTTCCAACGGACTTTCAGCACACAACTCTCCAAGTGTAACTCTCTTAGTTTGTGCAGGGGCCACTGTGAGGAACTAGTGATGGGTGAAGAGGCTAATGTTGGGATTAGCTCTGAGCAGGAGCTCAAACATGGGTATAGAAATATTTCAAACTTAGGGCTGAAAACTTCTGTTGGATTGTTCCAGTTTGTTTCTATCATGCTTTAGCTAGACATATGAAACTTTTCTTTGGTTGCCTTCTGATGGAGAAATTTGTACCCTGCATGACATAGCATGGCATGTCTTTAGCTGTCTGTACACTTTTGAACATTGCTTAATGTGTGTTGGAATGATTTATCTTGAAGTTGATGTATCCCATGGAGCCCTTGTGATTCTGCACTGGGGATGACACTTTGTTATGGTGAGAACTTTCCATCCCAAGATTTACCAACTTAACAGCTGTTGTGTGCACTAGAGAGTAGCTGTTCTAGCAGAGTGGCGTTGTAGTGTTAGTTCTATAGTGGTTGTCCAGTTATACACATATTGGTGGTGTTAGTTGTCTTTAAAGAATAAGTAAGTAGAAAAATGCGTCCCATAATTACATTTATTAATTTCCTACAATAACATAAAAAATATAAGTAACATAAATAATTGTTGTTTTATAGAAACTGAGGGATTCAAGATAGACACACTTGGTACTTACCATGGAATGACCTTGAAGTCCGTGACCGAAGGCACACAGCCAAAGAAAGTACAGGCTCCATCTCAACCAATTATTCCACAACCCAGACCTGTGGCTGAGGTACATACAAATGTTATGTATATCTATATTTCTTTCTTCCTCGTACACAGTGTGGTGGTGTTAACCCATTCACAGATAACAGATGCCAATGGAAAATACATTTCTAGTTTTTATCTGCATGTGGGAAAGTGGCCATTAAATTTAAGTACTATTTTAAGTAAGTAAAAATACATATTTTTAATTTTTACTTTCAGGCGCGAATTGCAGTTCAACCCAACAAGCGGATCTCTCGAACCCCAATAATAATCATACCAGCCGCAACAACATCTCTTATTACAATGTACAATGCTAAAGATGTTCTGCAGGATCTGAGGTGAGGTTTCAGTTCACATTTTTGGTCCAATCAAACTGTAAAGGAGAAGGAAGTCTGATAAACTACTGTATTTTCAGTGATTAATAATAGGATGATTAGAGCATTTCTAGGTACATGTAGAGCCATATGTAGCAATGACTTTAGCAGCTTAGGTAGTCATTATTCTTGTTATGTTTAAATCCATGTAAGTTTGTTTTGGTTAAAATCAGTATTTTAATTTGAATTCATGTTAGGTCCCATAGCTTCTTCTAATGACAAACTTTTTTATCTATTCACTTAATACGTGTAACTGTTTGGATGATATGGCTTGCCAGTGTGTGTCGAATGACAAGGTGTGAATTTGGCAGTGGTTTTTCCACGACGTATGTGTGTCCTGATAACTTGAACTATCTGTGTGAGGCCTGATTATATATTTTATTGGACCAAGGACAAATGATGTGTAGTCATCATGAATTTGTAATATGTGACATGTTTTATATCCAGCCCTATGGGGAGATGATTGGATCCATGAAGTGAAAAATAAATGTAACATAATGAAAAGCCTGCCTAGATAGAATTTTAGACAGCCGGGAAGATTGAGATTTGAATATCCTTGTATAGGACCTGAACCACCATGCAGCATCTCAGTAGGAGTTGCCACGAAGGCTGTCAGGGATTAGAGAGAGACCACAAAAACTACTGGGAGTTCTTAAGAGGATTCAAACATTCATAGGGTTTCTTACAAGGACCCTGTGCCAGAAGAACTAGGGAGCTGTTGGAACTAGACAGAAACACAGCAGATCGGTGATGGTGCAAGGACTGGTCAGGACCCACTATTTATTCATCCATCCATTCATAGAATTTCAGATGTTTGGCTTTATTTAAATCCATCCATTATGAAAAAGCCAGCATAGTTTGCAAATTGCCAGGATAGTGTAGTCAGTATAGCAACTGGCTACGGGCCGTATGACAAGGGTCAGAGTTTGAGTCCCGGTAGGGTCAAGAATTTTCACTTCTCCATGTCGTCCAGACAGGCTCTGGGGTCCACCCATCCTCTTATCCAATGGTTACTGTGGGCTCTTTCCCCTGGGTAAAGCAGCAGGGCTATGAAGCTGACCACTCACTTCCAACTAGTGCCGAGGTCAAGAAAATATTGATCTATACATCCAGTCCCCCATACATCTTCAATTTAAGCACAAGGATAAGAAAAGAAGACTGATACTAAGTTATATTCCACTGCCTAAAATTTGTCATGCACAATCACAGAGCTCTGTAATTTTCAAAACTGTACAATACAAAATTTGTAAGTATAGTTACAATCTGTAGCCTTGTCAAGCCATATGTGCCCAGCTGTAGTTGTTCTGTAGTTGTTGCTCTCAAACAGAAGATTAAATATAGATTTCACAAGAGTTCCACTGTTGTGTTATATTTGATAATACTTAAAGGCATTGCTTTATTAGAAGGAATTAAAATGTGGATGAATAATAGTAGTAGTAATGTACAAGGGTTGGAACTTTAATAGTGGCAACTATTTCTTTACAACTGATACAAAATAGATGCATGTTTCGAAGTTTTACTGCCCTTCAGTGTAGTCACCAGCATTCTGTACAACCCATTGCCAGCGATGTGGAAGTCGTAGGATACCTTTAGCACCTGTTGTGTTGATTGTTCGAATAGAGCGGTCTACTGCCTGAAGAATCTCTGGAACAGTTGTGAAGCAAATGCCACGAAGTGGTTCCTTCATCTTAGGAATCAAGTCGAAGTCATAAGGGCTTAAGTCCAGGGAGTATGGTGGATGATACAGCACTTCCCAGCCGCATCAATCAAACAAATTGGCTGCATGTGGACAAGCATTGGCCTGCAAAATGATGTGTGGGTTCTGCAGAAAGTGTTGCCACTTCTTTCTCAAAGCTGGCCGCAGCTTGTGTTCCAAAAATGAACAGTAATACTGCGTGTTGGTGGTCTGCTGTCGGGGAATGGTATGCATTAGGATAACACCACCACAGTTGTACACGGGAATCACCATAACTTTCACATTACTGGGGTGCTGATAGACTTTTGATTTTTGTGATGACCTGTAATGATACCATTCATTCGATTGGCGTTTCATTTGTGGCTCATACGATTTGGCCCATGTCTCATCCAGCATAAGATAGCCTCTCCTTCGCACTCATAGTGCTTCAAGTGGTTACGAGCAGCGTCATACCGTAGCCATTTCTGCATTTCTGTCAAATCATGTGGAACCCATCGTGATGCAGTTTTTCTCATGCCCAGGCGTTCCTTCAGAATGTGAAGCACGGTTGTATGCACTAATCCTGTCTCTCGGGCCAGCTCACGAACCCTATGGCGTCGCTCACTCTCCAGTAACTTCTTCACTGACACTAGGACGACCTGGCCGACGCCTGTCTGCCACATTTTGGCATCCCTTGTTGAAGGCTTTTACCCACCTTGCCACTTTTCTGTAAGGCAATGCAGATTCCCCGCAAGCCTCTTGAAGACCTTGACACTGTCGTGCTGTATGGCCTCTGGCACATTAAATCTTTATCCAACTCCATTGTGCCTGTTTCGAAAACATCGTGACAACACTACATTAGACCGCCAGCTAACACGGGGCTCTGTTCTTCTCGTCACTGCGCATGCGTGTGATGTGGGAAGGGAGAGTCCATTTGCTCTGAGGTAAGGTAGGTATGTAACTAACGTGTCGTATAAGCGACATTATTTGGTTCAGTTGCATGGCGCCTCGACAGCAGTGTTGCCACTATTAAAGTTCCAACCCTTGTATGAAGATGCGCTTGTAAAGGATACACTGGCATTGAAGAATGCTGTCTTCTTGGATGTGATGCCTTGTAGTCTGGTAGATGTTAGCCAACATTTTGAAGGAACCTCTTACCACTTTCTTTTCTGAAGTTGGTAGCAACACATTTCTCTGAAAGGCAGTAACCAGCTATCAGGCTTCATCACATTCCAGAAGACTCTAGTAATCTTTATAGTCACTACCATGGGAACCACAACCCTTTTATTGACATTCTTTACACTCAAAAGTTGGTCATCTTTTATTTTAAAAAACAGTGCATGAGATAGTAATTTGTACATAAAATTTGTGTATCACTGTGCTCTTGAAACTTTTTTGATTTTGTGAAATGAGATAAGCATAAAAGCATTCATTGTCCTTGAAATAAGCCACTGGTTGAATTGGCTTATATAGCCCAACTTCATATTTCATTGACTTTGTAATGATCTCATGTAATTCAGTTAATGTACTCTGATGTAACATTGACTGTACATATGCGCAAGTCCGTTTGTGTTGTTCATAAAAGAATATAGTGGCTAGAGGGGAGATGCTCTCCTCTGCTAAACCTCTTACACAGTGTTAAGTTTTGGAGTGAAAGAGGGGTTCATGATATTCAGAGTACATCATTTTGATAAATATGTTGTTTTGAAGTTTGTTATTCTAAAATTATTTGTGTAGTTAAACCAGAAAATACTTGTATGGAGAACTGCTAAAAATATTCTGTAACGTTTATTGGCCATGATGATGAACGAGGTTTTCCTCCGCACGGTAGTTGCTGTGATTTCGTTGTAGCCATTTCCAGCTGATTCACAAAAATTGTAATACTAAGATAATTAGGAAACTGATTTGAAACACACATTTTATTCAGGAAAAAATACATTCAACACCATGTAATGAATACAAAGTATCAAACAGGATGATGTTTGATGGTCCTTAATGGCACACAGTTTTGTCACTTACAACTGCCATTTTTATAATTTTGTTTTAAAGCTAAAACACAAAATTTATCTTTCAGATTGAGGTCAGAAGTTTATTCTCATCTGTGTGCAGACTTTTGCGTTCATTCATGCATGGCCTAAATCAGCTGAATAATATAAAACAATGTATGCTTTTATATATATATTTAGGGGGGGGGGGCATGCAGTAACATGGTTGAGGCATTATGCTACAAGCTAGGAGGTCACAGGTTCGATTCCCGATGAAGTCACTGGATTTTTCAGTTGACATAATCCTTCCAGCCACACCGTGGCCCTGGGGTTGACTCAACATATAACATAAATTAGTGCCAGAAATCTTCCTGGGCATAAAGGGTGGCTGGCACATAAGGCTGGCAATCTCACCACCATCTGTGAGTTGACTGACTGAAAAATGTGGAAGCCTGTATGTCTCACAACCCTATGGACCTCCATGGCCCATTGTAGGAATAACTTTACTCTTTACCTATTATATACGTATTTAATATTATGCAGATTTGTGAGTACTGAAGAGAAGAAACTTCAAGGTGCAAAGAGAGAGAATGAAATCCTACTTCAGCGTCGGAAAGAAGGTGCATTCACTGTGCCGTATCGGGTAATAGACAACCCCCAGAAGCTGACAAATGCAGACTGGGATCGTGTGGTTGCTGTGTTTGTGATGGGTCCAGCATGGCAGTTCAAGGGTTGGCCATGGGATGGCAATCCTGTTGAGATATTTTCAAAGAGTAAGTGCTCCTTTTATAACAGTATTAAGTGAAGAGTACTTAGCATGAAATTGTTTATTATATAGTTATGTCCATCTTCCTTTTACTGTCTGTTATATTCCTCTCAGAATGCTGTTCTCAAAAATCCATAATCTGTGTTATTCTCATAGAATCTGAGATAAATTTTGCATCCATGCATAACAAAACATAAAGTTACAATTTGTCTGTTATAGTCAACTCACCACTGATGATTCACAAGTTTCAGTGTAGCAAATCCACACACAGACTTACAAACTTGAAAGGTCTGCTAACTTGGACGTAATTGTAATAAAATATAGTGCATTCAGTCAAGGAGGAAACTGCAACACCACTGACCAGGCCCAACATTTCTCACAGATTGCTGCTGTAACTGCTGATAGCTGAATGAGTCATTAGCACTGATAAATGACTCATTCCATTTTAGCAGTTACAGCAGCAATCTGTGAGGAATCTTGGGCCCAGTGAGCGGTGCTGTGAAGTTTGCTCCTTGATTGAACATCCTGTATTTTGCCCATCTGCAAGTGGAATGTAGAGCATTTTCAATGATGCAAAGCATCATCTGTTGACTTCCAAACAGTCAGGTGGTGGTGGTGGGCTGTGAGAAGCTTATTACATTTTATCAGGAGGCTCCAATAGTAGGATATCTCAATGAGATGACAGTGTCAAATGCATAGATGATAACTTCTTCATCATAAGGTTTCACATCTCTTAGCTTATTTCTCCTCACAAACTCCGAGTTATTAAGGTATTTGTCATCAGGTTTATGCTCCTTAATCATTAGTCATAGTGTAGTCTAAAGACAGACCACCTCTGCGGGCTCGTGGTCAGAGTTCCTGGCTACGGATCCAGAGGTCCAGGTTTGATTCCCAGCACTACCAGAATTCCTGAGAAGTAGTTGGTCTGGAACGGGGTCCACTCAGCCTCATGAGGATAATTGAGGATCTGCTTGAATTGAAAATAGCGGCTTCGGTCTAGAAAACCGAGATTAATGGCTGTGGGAATCCGTTGCGTTGATCATGCGACACCCACTGTCCGCTAAAGTTGGCACTGATTTTGCCAACAAGCAGTGGTCACTTGGTCGGTATAGTTCGCTTGCTGACTAAAGGCACAGAGTTTGTTTTATTTTGCTTGTAATCTAAAGACAGAACACCAGTCTTAATCGTATCTTAGTGTCTTAATTCTGTAAACTGAAAAATGAGAATTTTTTTGATTTATGTGCAGATTATTCTAAAGTACTTCATGAATCATTTGTGGTGAAGTTGTAGAATCCTTTATTGTGTGTGTTTCTATTTTCTTAAGCTCAATATCAGTGATGCAGCAAGTGTCACCTACAAAAATTAATGAGATTTTTGTGTGCTTTGGTCACTTTCAGTCTGTGCATTTCATGTTAAATATGATGAGATGAAGTTGGATGCTAATGTGGGTCGTTGGGCTGTACATGTTATCGAGCTTTCCCGTACAAAACGTCATTTGGATCGTGCAGCATTGATGATCTTCTGGGAGAAACTAGATAAGTAAGTGGGAAATTTTGTAGTGCATTTGAATTTGTATAGTAATTTTTAATAATGTAAAGAGTTGTTTGCATGAAACTGACTATAATCATAATGACAAATGTTAAAGAATCACAAAGACTTCTGCTATTTTAGAATGAACTCTTCAGTAGCTGTATGTATGTAGATTTGTATGAGTAGAGTATGTTTGAAGTTTGTTCCACAATTACTTTCTCTTTGATCCATCCAAAATTGCAAGTAATAACTCTCCTCACATCTTGCATTGAGCACTGTATAACTTCTGCAGACAGTTTGGCATTGCTGAATGATATGCAAAAGAAGACAGACTTATGTAGTCACTTCAGATTTTATTTGTAACAGATTGGAACTCAGTATTTTAGATCACCTGTTCTCAAATGTTAGGAAACTTTTTTTTTGGTGGTTCTGTCAGTATTCATATGTTCCATTCCATTGAAGTAGGGACAGTGGTCACATTGATTTATGTCAGAAAGATTATGATAGAGGAATTAAGCAATCATGGAAGAGTTTTCTTTCATTCGTGTGATGATACTAAGGAAATTATATATTTAGGTTAGTGAGTCTGGGATTTGATTCAAGTATTTTCTCACACGTTTAGTACAAATACATCTCAGATGAAACTATTATCCTTCTCTTAAGAGTGTGATGGAAGTTACCTGATTTGCTTTTTCCATTTTTTTCAGGCACATGATCAAGAACAAACCTCACTTAAGGTTCTAAATTGATATTTCATACTACAGCCAAGGATTCTTGAAGATATAATAGTGTCGTGTGTAAGGGGTTAGCTTGACTAATAATTGTGGGTTCGAGATTTGATGATTGGATTTGTTGGATGTCTCTATTATAATCACAATTGATTATAACTGCTCACACTTGGAACTCCTTCCTAATGACATCAGCTTGCTTAGTCATTGCTTGGTAACTAATCTTATCTGGTTAACACTTAAACTATTGTATGTTCAAATATTGATGAATGGACAGCCTTTTATAAATTCTGGAGAACCTAATAGAGATCACTGCCTCCAAAGGTTCCATAAATGCTATTTATATGTGTGTTGTACCCAGATACGCCTATAGTACCATAGTAAACAAATCTGTTGTCCAGCAATGAACATCTGTTATTGTTGACAGTGTAATGCTCGGGAACATGTTTACATAACGGTTTCCTAGCAGTGTGTCACAATACTAACAGAACTGTAAGTATTTTGTAGTAAAATATATTGCTTCTCAGCCTGTCATATGGGTAATATTATACTGCAGGACATATGGTCAGTTTCAGCTATGGGAATATAATCCCAGTTTTGCTACACAGTTATGTAACCTTGCAAAATTGCAAGAACTATTGGAAAAAGTCTTTCACATTTATAAGAGGCCTTAATGTAGCATATAAGGAGCTCCTCCATACCATTGCTATGTGTTTCATTTGTGTAAATAGAAAGTAAGAAGCTCTTTAGTGATGTGTGGACCAGTGTCCCGTAACTGCCTCCCTTCTAGCAGACATGAAACTGAAGTGGACAGTATCCAAAGACAGTTTCTAGATACTATATTTAAGTAAATGTAAGGCAGTATCTCCTTAAAATTTGCTTGAATAAATAAATTGGAAATCACACTGCTGTTGAAAATACATTAAGTGAAAGTTATATTAGGACAAGAGAAAGGGTTAATGTCACAAAGCAATGGTAGTTGGACTGTTTTTGTGTCCATGAAACAAAATCTCCTCAAAGAATAGTTTTTTAGCTTCATGAGAAGTGAAAGTTTGGTGTGTGATATCAAATGAGATGTACCAGTTAAGAACCAGAGCAGTGGAGAAAGTATGGATTTTAAAGATTTGAGGGCAAATCAAGAATGGATGTAGAGGTTTTTTTTTTTGAAAGGGTGCAGATGGATTGAAGGCATTAGTAACAGAATATGTAACAATTTTCCATAAGTAACAGAAAATGTAACAATTCGTAATTGTTGGTAGCTTCACTCCTAAGTTACTGAAGTTTTTGTTGTTGACCTCGTTACCATGGAAATTTGCACAGCAAACTACATAGAAGAATCTGGACATATTTCAGGCGAAATACATTAATAAATGTGGGTTATATGGCTAATTCAATTCCATGGATTAGTGGATGATGCAGTACTATAGGCAAGCTGGCAGTGTATGATGTCAAGCACTGAAAAGCGAATGAAGACATAAGGAACACTTGTGCAACCCCTTATGTAACCACTGATAATTCAAGACCTATGGTGTATCTTATATTAAATGTTATATATTAATTAATAAAGACCAGTCTATCCAGAAATGATGTTTATTTTATTCCCAAAATAAAATTGTACATTGTTTAAACAATTACTCAAAACCTGTAATAATTTTCCTAATTTTACAGACTTTCAACCACATGCCACGGCTAAACCGTAAAAGTTCGATCAGGACATATTGAAAGTGAAATATGTCAATAAATGTGAGGTTCTCAAAGATGCAATCTGTTTTGGTCCATCGCTTACAGTTTAGGAGTTAGGACCATTTGTAACAGATATGGCTATTCAATTCCTCTGTTTAGTCATGTATCCTGGCACTGTGACAAGTATATAATGGGTTCTGGATTAGATTAATTGATTTATTGGATATTCACCGGGCAGAAGTACAATTAGTTGTAACAATCTTACTGTGACTATAATACTTCATAACTATGAACAATGATAACACTGTGGTTCTGTATGTGTGTGAAACTTGGTCTCTGATATTAAGGGAGGAAGATAGACTGAGTGTGTTTGAGAACAGGGTGTTGAGGAGAATATTTGGACTGAAGAGGGATGAAGTGACAGGAGGTTGGAGAAGACTGCATAATGAAGAGCTTCATAACTTTTACTCTTCTCCAAGTATAATTAGGATGATCAAGTCAAGGAGGATGAGGTGGTCATGGTATGTAGCACAAATGGGGGAGATGAGGAATGTGTATAGGATATTGGTGTGAAAGCCAGAAGGAAAGAGACCACTGGGAAGACCAAGGCGTAGATGGGTGGACAATATTAAAATGTAAGATTTGAGGTTTTCATGGCAGTGACTATGAAGAAAGCAGTCTTCTGGGATTTGGCACCGTGGATATGTGTATGTGGTGCCAAATTCCAGAAGACTATTTTCTTCAATATTAAAATGGATCTTAGAGAGATGGGATGGGATGGTATTGATTGGATTGATCTGGCTCAGGATAGGGACCAGTGGAGGGCTCTTGTGAACACGTTAATGAACCTTCGGGTTCCATAAAATGCTGGGAAATTCTTGAGTAGCTGCATAATTGGCGGCTCCTCCAGAAGGGCTCAGCTCCATGAGTAATTAGGTATTTGACTTGTCCTATATCATGTATAATGATCCATGAATATTAAGTAAATAAATAAATAAATATGATTCAAATTTATATATTCACGAAGATGTACGATGAACAATATTTGTCAAGTACACTCGTTTCCTGCTTACTGAACAAATTGATATCAAATCATCACAGCATACACAGAAAGCTTTTACGTTACACTACCTCAACGTACGTAAATATTACCTAATATTACTAATTACTTAAAATCCTGTAACCTTAATTGAATTTAACATAACTAAACTCCCCATCATACATCAATATCATCATCAAGACGATCAAAACGATCAAAACCGATCAAGACTAGTTCTAGCAACGCTAGCAACATAGATACTACGTGCAGCACCCTGACGACCCTGACCACCCTGACGACCATGACCACCATTACGACGATTACCACCAGTACCATACTATGTGGCTGTGAGGACGTGAGGACTGTGAGACCGTGTGAGACTGTGAGGTTGTAGTTTCATTACAGCCATCACAGCTACGGATAGATGGAAGCATGATATATCAGTGACTGTTGTGTTGAAAGTAAATACCATGGAGCTACACATCTGTGTAGCGCTAGAAATGAGCCAATGAATCCGTATGTGTTTTTCGATGATTTCGAGTTATGTGTTCGCATGTTTTATGGTTACGTTGTCATCGGACTGAAGAGCAAGATATGTAAACGTGGGGACATTTCTGTAACGGATAGTATGGTTTATATAGTACGTCAATAGCACATTTTTACTTTCAGTGGCGTAATTTCATGGTGTCCAGTATCAATATGATTCATAGTCTCTTTATAATTAATTCATCCGGGTAAGTATTTATGCTGTGTTTGAGGTTACTGTTTACATTTGACTGCCTCACCATTCGGAAAATAATTTCAATTAATTATCGACCAACAAATATGGGATAAAGAAATGTTCGTAGAGGACAGACCTCTCCTATGTTTTACTGGTTTATGCTTTCACGGTTGTTGGGTGTTTATGTCAATTCAATTGGGTGGTTATACTATGGATGGACGCAGAATGTATCTCAGAAACGTCTGAAGCATTACCCAAATCCGCATGGTGTTACCGCCCAAAAACTGATTCACATCCTGTGTTCTAACCATTGAATACCAGGAGTGATTTAGAATGTGTCAGAATTAAGAAATTTTAAACGCCTTTTTTGTACGTCATAGTTTGATTTATTTGCCCATTCAAAAGCTTACCTTCTGTGGCATACGTACATGATAGCACTCAGTCCAGCTAGGACCATTTTCTGCCAGATCTCAGAAACTGACAATGAGTTTGATACTTATCCAAAATTTAATCTTCAAAGGAAATTAAAAAACATATTAAGGACAGTAATCACATGTTAATATTAAGTTGTGCAGACAGTTGATATAAATGTTGCCTCTTTCATCACACTGTGAATAAACAAAAATCTTTCTGTCATATCATCCCACACATATGTAGAGGTCATCTGAGAACCTTCTGAAAATCTTTAGGCAGGTTGGGCAAGAGGGACACAGACTATTTGCAACATCTAGCACTTTATGTGTTCGTATTCATGTCTTAGTCACCAGACCAGTATCATATACATATCACAGTTCTTCCCTAGCATCACCTGAGTAAACATTTGAGCAGCTACTGTGAAGTGAGCTTATGTGTTATGGGCCCATTGATATAATCTGAAGCCCCTACTACCATATTGAACATTCATTGACTTGTGTTACTTGTGTTGAAATGCCATATCAGAGTTCACACTGAAACAAATGATTATGTACTATGATAAAAAAAGGTACAAAGGTAAAGTTATCCTTGTGCTCAATGAATGCACCATGAAGGTGTATGAGGGAGTGGATGTATAGAGCCACATTTTCTTGTCCTTGGCACTAGTTGGAGGTGAGTGGTCAGCTTCACGCCCCAGCCACTTTACCCCTGAGAAAAGCCCCCAGTACACATTGGATAGGAGGTCGGATGAACCCCAAATCTGATCTGGACGATTTTGAGAAGACAAAAATTCTTAACCCTACCGGGACTTGAACTCCAATCCCTCAGTTGTCCAGCCCGTAGCCAGTCACTATACCGACTACGCTATCCTGGCTCCTATGTAAAAAGTATGGAAATATTCTGACATGAATATCAGGATACTAAAGTTTAACATAAAAAAAATATTTGTACAGCCATAAATGAATTAAAAAGACAGCGTTTTTTTTGGGGGGGGGACCACATCAGAGCACCAAGTGCTCACTGAGGAGAAACTGGATGAAACCAATGCTAGGCACCAGCAGTATTCTAAAAAATTCCTCAGATGCTTTGCAGAGGAGACCAGGGTTTACTTTTCCAGTTTGCTGTCTTTCTGAAAAGGAACATCAGCGTGTGCAAAGAATGTGTGTGCAGCAGTGGGTATCATTTCCTGTACCTGCTGTGATCTGGGTGTGTTCCGTTTGTGATTTGTCAGTCTTCTGGCCTCTCAACTCTGCCATGAGTCTTGAACACATGCAATGCAAGATGATACAAGTAACTTGCCCCTCTTGCTTGACTGGCCAATGACAATCTTCCTGTATAATGAGAGGTTTAAATTCCACCTCTTTTCTTCTCTTTCCTCATAATCACACCTAAGGAAGAGGCACTACTTCCCAAGTGTTGTGGAGTAGTGTTTAGAACTTCTGTTTCATATTTATGAGGTTTCCATATCAAATATTTGGTGGTTTCAAGCCATCCTGACTTTGATTTTCTTGAGAGAAATGCTGGAATGGCACCTTCAAGACCATGTTACTTCCATTTCACAGACCATATTCATCTTATGGGGGTACGCAGTAGTGTAGTTGGTTGAGGGGCTATGCTACAAGCTGGAAGGTCGTGGGTTCAAGTCCCGATGAGGTCATTGGATTTTTTTCAATTGACCTAATCCTTCCAGCCACACTAGGCCCTGGGGTTTACTCAGCCTCTAACAGAAATGAATACCAGGAATTAATTACATAATTTTCCTGGGGAGTAAAGCGCAGCTGGTGCGTAAGGCTGACAACCTTACTGCCATCTTTGAGCCAATTGTCTAGATAATGTGGGACCCTCAACGTCTCAACCCTATGGGCCTTCACGGTCTGTTACAGGGATAGCTTTACTTTTTTTTTATTCATCTTATGACTTCTGAAATAGCATGGTATAACTTGCGTAGTTGGCACATTATTGTTGAACAAACCAAGATCCGTGCACCATCACACAAGTGGCAGGCTCCTTGCTAGATTGCTATGTCAATAAAAGAGTGAAATTGCAAGAATTTCATTTAGAAGCAAAGAAATACTGCTCCTTTGTGTTTACGATCTTGTGAGTTCAAATCTTGGCTTGAATACTGTCAGTTATGATTAAGAATTTTCCTGGTATTTTTCATGCATTATTAGCAATTCTAAATGGTGAATGTTCGTTTCATATAAAATTATTCTTGATTTGTCAGGGTTATTCTGAAATAGAAATTTTTACACCTGCAGTATGATCACACAAGATTAGCGTCATTCTTCTTTTAATTATGGTGTTGGAAATATGTGGGTTCTTAAAATGAAACCCATTTGGCGATTTTTGTGGGGAAAGGAGCAGAAACCATTACAAATAGTCCCCATGGGTATGAAGCAGACATCCCATTGAAGAAAAACCTGCTGAATCCCCTCAACAAAGTACTTCAGGGCTGCTGCTGTAACCACTGCACTACATTGTGGGACGTGGACCCATTACTAGGTAACGACATCCATGCCAAGATGTTACAAGTATAAACAGGACAAGTTAAGAGGTTACAGTGATCGTTGGAATGTGTATTCAGTTATTCAGTATTGAGGGGGTGGGTTACCCCATGCACCGCGACTGATAGTCTATTGTACGTCCCCCTTTTAATTTCTACTGTCTCCATTCCCTACCGGTACTGGTGCTCGCTGTCAGCCCCTTACTGCCAGCGAGGTTTCTACCCTCTACTTGGCAGTGGTATCTAATAGTCCCTTTCTGTCAGCGAGGTCGTCCCTCCTCTGACAGTGGTACCCAATACTTCCCCATCTACCGGAGGCATTGGAAACTACTTGGGCGGGGAACTTTTTGGCCTAATTTAGCTCAGACGTCTCCTAGAAACATGAGGTTCTTTTACGTGCCGTAAATCTACGACACAGGACCCACGGCTTAAAGTCCCTCCCGGAGGACTTGTTCCCTGAATTTTTACGCCCTTAAAAATTCCACGACCTCCGCCGGGTTTTTGAACTCGCGTACCTTGAGTCATGAGGTGGGAACATTACCCCTAGACTACGGAGGCTTTTGGAACTCTTGAGACTGTTGTAGATACCTGTAGTTACATTCTGTAAATGTTCAATAAATCTGATTACCAATCCAAACGCTATCAATAGTCAGTCTATCACGTGACAGTATGGACCCAGCCGAATATGCAAATGCATTTTATTTGAACCACCCTCCTACTTAGGTGCAGACTGAAACAAGTCAGGATTGCTTCTCTCACACTTATTTCAATTCATTACTCATAGTATTATGTTATTTGATGTCATGTAACCTATGCAATTAAATAAATCAAGGAAGATGGCTCAATCAGTAAAGCTTCTGACTTATTTTTGGGAATGCCCATTTGAATCTGTGCTGGGACACTGACTATACCATCTGAAGTTTTTCATGGTCCAGGTAAATGCTGAGATAGTAAGTAAAAGTAAAGTAAGTAAAGCTACTCTGTAACAGGGTGTGGAGGCCCATAGGGTTGTGAGATGTTGAGGCACCCACATTTTCTAGACAGTCAGCCTTACACACCGGCCACCCTTTACCCCCAGGAATATTCCTGATACTCATTTCTGTTAGAGGCTAAGTCGACCCCAGGGCCATAGTGTAGCTGGAAGGATTAGGTAAATTGAAAAAATCCACCTCATCGGAATTCGATCCCATGACTTTCTGGCTTGTAACATAGTGCCTCAACTAACTGTGCTACTGTGTGCTCCTTCTGAGATAGTACCTTAATTTAGTTGATGACTGTTTCTTTCCACATCTTGTCAAACTCGTTTACTATTATCCAGTCATTTGACACTGATTTGCTATCACCATTGTTGAATAAAATATAAATAAATAAATCATACTTTATTTGAGTTATGTTAAAAACATGGCTAAGTTATTGAGGTATTTATATTATCACTCTGGAGGGACACAAAGGCTATATAGCCCTAGTTCCATAATATTTTTTTAAGGATGCTATTTATTTCAGGGATGTGTTCATGGAGAAACACTGGAAGAGTGTTGTATCACGTTCAGTATGCGACTATTTCTTTGATCAGCAAAGAAAAGTTGGAAACCCTGAAGATATGCCACCTGTTATTGCAACCCCACATCATTATCTGATTAGTATCCATCGATGCTGCATGTTTTTTGTTGCTGTTTGTATGACAGAAGGTTGGTTGTTTCTCTTTTATGCAAATGACAGAAATGTTGTTGGAGTGTGTATGTATGCAGGTGTATAGAGCACATCAATTTGATTGAACCCTTTCAGTTTATCTCATGGAATTTGCTTGACTTTCTCTTCAACTCTGAATCTGGAACCACTGCATATTTCTGAAACATTTGTAAACTTGTATCTGACTACATGGCATTATATTCCCAGAGATAACACTTTACATTGTTACTGTCATAAGAACCTGAAATCCAACAGTTTTATGTTAAGAAGAGCACCACGAATACACAGGTCTGCAAAAATAATTTTTTTTTTCAGCTGCATGGAATATTTTTGGTAAACTTTATGTTTTCTAGAATGCTGAATCCAAAAATGACTTCAATTTCCCCCTATCACGTACGGTTTTTTGGAAAATAATAGGGGTTTACAATAAAAAGTCATAACAGCGATGAAAAAATCACTAATTTTATTACATTGAACTAAACATATTATTTCTCATAATTAAACAAACAATTCCGTCATGATATATTTAACATTCTGTGTTCAGTCTTTTTGTCTGCAAAACCCTTTCTTCTTCTCTTTGATGCTCCTCCGAACACGCTTTCGCTTTCCATTTTCCGTTTCCTGCTTGATTATCCAGCAGTAGTCAGGTAGCATATTCACATTCCATCTTCCTTGGTAGTGTCTTTCGATATCACGGACATCCTGATGAAATCGTTCACCCTGCTCTTCACTATAGGATCCCAAGTTTTCGGGAAAATAGTCGCCATGGGAGTGTAAGAAATGAACTTTTAAGCTCATCTTGCAACCTTGAGCTTTATATGCAGCCAACATGTGTTGTACATTGGTTTTGTAGAGAGGGTCTTTAGTGTTCCCCCAAAACCTTGTGCACTACGTCTTTGAAGGAGTCCCATGCTTCTTTTTCTTTTTCTCCCATTGTTTCTGAAAAGAGGGGATCGCTTAACAGTTTTCGTATGTCGGGACCAGTAAAAACTCCCTCTTTCAGCTTGACTTCAGACAGTTTTGGGAACTTGGAACACAAATATGTGAAACATTCTCCATCTTTTGGCAGTGATTTTACAAACTGCTTCATGAGCCCTAATTTAATATGAAGAGGTGGTAATAAAACCTTTTCAGGTGGAACCAAGGTCATATTAATTACGTTTTTTTCACCGGGGATTAAGGCATCTCGAAGTGGCCAGTCAGTTTTTGTCCAATGGAGGTCTCTGGCTCGACTGTCCCACAGGCATAAGAAGCAGGGATGTTTTGTATAACCTGCCTGCTGGCCCAACAACATGGTTAATATTTTGAAGTCTCCACAAACCATCCATTGATGTTCTTGATAGTTGACTTTCTCAAGAATCGCAGCCAAATCGTTATAGTTCTCTTCCAAATGCACCGAGTGTCCCATAGGAATTGATGCAAATGTATTTCCATTATGCAGCAAGACTACTTTGAGGATTGTTTTAGACGAATCAATGAAGATGCGCCACTTAGATGGATCTTATTCTATTTCAAAGCATTCCATGAGCCCTTCAGTATCATTACAAAAAACGAGATTTCCCTCTTTGGAGAAAAACTGAGTGAACTTCTTCTCTCAGTGCCTGTACCACGAGTATGATATTCCAGGTGACAGCAAGTTTTAATTTTTTAGTCTTGATCCTAGCAGTTCGGCTGCATCTTTGGAAAGGCCTAAATCTCTTAACTAAGTCATTGTGCTCACTCTGAGAAAAGGGTTGGGGTCCCTCATCAACAGAAAAATCTGAGCTGGATTCATCCTGGGGTGGTAATATAGTTCTGTCCTCCAAATCACTCTGTATATCATCCAGACTGGAAGGTGGAAGGGGAACTGGAATTTCAGAGCTATGAGGCACTGGACGAATAGCTGAATTAAGGTTTGGGTAAGATATTTTCTTTTTATTTTTTGTATTAAAGCCTTTCGCATCTACCGAACAGAAATAACAGTCAGTCGTGTGGTTTTGCTGTTCACGCCACAACATAGGAATGCCAAAACGAAATGAGTTTTTCTTACCCTTAAACCACAAACGAAGATCTTCTTCACACCTTCTGCACACCTTGTGAGGAGCCCAAGGTTTGTCTTGATCCCCAAGTTTCAATTTGAAATAAAGAAAATACACTTTCTTCACAAAATCAGNGTGATGGACTTTTTTTACTATTTTTCCCGGTTTTACTGAGTAAAAATCTATAAGAAACAGTAAAAATATCCTATGCAATTTTTGTTTGCAGACCTGTCCTGAGCGACCAATTCTCTTGATATACATCAACAGAATTGGTCGCTCAGGACAAGATGGGGCCAGGACCAATAAAGCATACAGTCCCTTAGTGCCTTTATTTATGAAGAAAAGAGTATAATTTTGGGGTGTATTTAAATGTTTGTATTTTAAGAATTCACTTTATATATATATATAAATAAGTAAATAAAATGTATAGCATGCCTTACTGCCCTTGGCACAAATACAAACCCCTTTGGGTTGGGGAAGACTTGGGAATTCTTCCTGGGATGATACATACAGACAGACGGACCACAGGTTGTTTGGCAGGAATATGTCTGCACCTAAAATGCACTATTTCAACTTCTTACTGAGACATTCACAGTCATAGCAAAAAATAATTTCTTTGACCCCATTGAAATGTTTCAAAATTCTCCTTAAATTCAGTTTGGCATTTGTTTATTTGTGTCATGTATTTATTTAGTGCTAACATTAAAATTATACTCTTCTTTTCTGTTCTTATTCTTTAAATCAGTGATAGCTACACATTCCTGCAGTTACATGATTACACTTTCATCTTTGGGCTTATTTCTGATACACCACATATTTTACCATAGCATTCTGCCTCTTTGTTTTATTTGATTTCCTTTATGATTATACTTACTGCCTAGATGCTGCCCCCCAATTCATTATGTATATAATGCTTTTGATGCTTTGCCATTATGAGTTATTTCTGTATTTTTAGGTTGAAGATCTGTGAGTTTTTTTTATTTCTAACTTTTATTTGCTAATCCAGCGGACAAAAGCAGTTTGTATTAAACTTTTAATTGCATTCATATTACAGGGTCATTGCTTGAATATAACCACACACAAACATTAATCACACCATCTTCATCACACACACAAGACACAGACTTAAACGTATATTGAGACAGTTGGGTTAGGAATAGCTCTATACCGGGAGCATGTATTGGTGTAGTTGGTTGAGGCACTATGCTACAAGCTGGAAGGTTACAGGTTCAAGTCCTGTTGAGGTAATTGGATTTCTTTCAATTGACCTGATCCTTCCAGCCACACTATGACCCTAGGTTTGACTCAGCCTCTAACAGAAATGAGTACCAGGAATATTACTGGAATATTCTTGGGGATAAAGGGTGGCCAGCGTGTAGGACTGACAGCCTTGCTGCCATCTATGAACCGGTTGTCTAGAAAATGTGGGAACCTCAACATCTCACAACCCTATGGGCCTCCAAGGCCTGTTACAGGGATACCTTTACTTTTTTTTTTATAGCTTTACGCCTTGTGTTTTCATAGTTTGACATCTTCCAAAATGTTCTAGCACATTGTCTCATGTAAGATACCTAATGAATAATAAGTAATTTTCTTAGAAAATGCCATTAACCATTAATCCTTCAGTTAAAATGACACTTGAACATGATTGATCCATTTAGATTTCCTTAGTACTGAACAGACACTTCGTATAACAGAAGTCACCATGTAATTTGCAATCATCAGTGAACATTTATGAGTAAGAGGGGTGGGCCAGAAAATCCGGCCCTTGCACTGCAACCTTCAGTGGTCTATTGTACTTATCAATGAACATTTAAGAAATTATTATGAATATTTTAAAATCTTGGTAGGTACCTAAAACACCTTTCGATGGCACCAGGATCACAGTCCTTTAATGCAGCTGGAACTAGTATATCCATTGTTCAAACAAATCAGGGGACATGAATGAGTATGAACTTTCATTGGGTCCAAATGTTCTGGTCCAGTGGCAATGAAACAGATTTGTGAGTAGGAGGTGTGACATCTGTTGAGCTTCAGGCTGAGGCCTGTGTGTTAAGGCCCCCCATGTGAGAACTTCATGTCCGTAAGAAACTTTTGCACCGATTTTGAAGTACAATTTTATGCTTTACTATATGTAAACAAATTAGAAATGAACCATATTTTATACCCTGAGATGTTAAGTACTGGTGGAGGTCCATCCCCTCTGCCCTTAGGGATGGGCCACTTCAGAGCAACAGAACCAGTGACAAGAATATATATAAAAAAAAGTCAGAGGAACAGGAAAGTTTAATTTCTGTTTAATTCTCTGAATTTTGCTTTGCAGTTCCTCCATTGTTTGTCAGTGAGTTTCTTCATCGAGTAGTGGATACGTTTGAAGACTACTTCAGTGAGTGTACAGAGTCCATTATTAAAGAGCACTATGTTGTAGTTTATGAGGTAAGGAAGATAAATTTGGAATCAATCCTGGTACAGTAATCTCTCCATAATATGTTTGTAACATGTCAGTCTGTGTGTTGCAAGTGATTCAGTTTTCTGTGACATTATATCTGAACGCCTCCAGCAACTTCTTGAACTGTCATAATGAAGACCTACAGTTGTAGCCAGTCAGTGATTTCATGCTAAGGTGACTGGATTTTGTGTTCACAACTCCAGGGAACTTGCTTGTTTATTAATGTAATTAAATGACCCCATATTAACTATATAGTAATGTAGTATCAAATAAGAGAAGTGAGTATGATTTTGAATGCGAATTCAAAGAGTTGGAGAAGGATTTGTTCATGGTTTGTTTTAACTGGCTGTCACATTAGTGCACCTGTTGGCCTGCTCTCCACCTAGCTGTTCATCCTGGGTCACATTATTTTGCTGCAAAAATATTACTTTAATTAGATCAGCATAAGGCGGTTATAAGTAAAAGTTTTCTCACGTTCTTGTAGGGTGAGGGGTGTGTGGGGAGGTGTGGCAGGGCGACCGCCATGAGCAGCTCTGAACACACCAGCTAGTAATATTATTCTAATTGAAAAGTGACAGGAAGAAATAAAAAGTTTCTTCACATGAGGATGTTTAGATCAGCATGATAAGTGAACAGACTGACCTACTAGAATTATTATGCTAGTGAGGAAGTGGTCGAAAGAAGTAAGTGTTCCCTTTTTCTATTGGTTGTTTGGAGTGTGGAGAGGATGTAGTCCACTACTGAACTGCATACGCTTTGTACACTGGTGGACAAGAACAGTATATAGCATTTCAACAGAATATAATATGTCTGTACTGGTACAGATTTTTAGGACTAAATAAGAGCCCATTTTGAAGAGTGATTCTCATGGAGCAATATCATTTGACAGCAAAAGTGAGCTTGCTGAAGACATAGTAGCAGTCAGTGGTAATAGTAGTGCCATCAGAAATTGGTATTATACCTGTTCAGAACCACATTAGAATTCTAGTAATATGTGTTCTTTCACTGGACATCTCACCAAATATAAGATGCAAGAGACATACCATATGAACCAATTACTCTTCTTCATTCAATTGATCCAGGTGTTGGTGACAGTGATGCAGTACAAAATGACTGTATGGGCAAGTGTTTTTCGTACATGATAATTCAAATAGGACATGAAGTCAGGAACACATTGAAAGATTATAGGTCTACTGCTGAATATTTCTATACCCCATTTTACAGTAACATGATGAAATATATGTTGTGAATTGTTTTCAGCTCCTTGATGAAATGTTAGACAATGGATTTCCACTGGCTACAGAATCCAACATTCTGAAGGAACTGATCAAGCCACCAAATATCTTGAGAACAATAGCTAATACTGTTACAGGAAAATCCAAGTAAGTTCACCATAGATTCCTGCACTTGTACTCACATTGTTGGCATAATTAATGAATGATAGATGATTTTAACATTTAGTGCAAATAGGATAGTCAAAGAGATGGATTCTAAAATCCACATGCTTCAGCAGAACTGAAATTTCTGCTTAGGATGACTGTATTTTGCATTTTGTATGTGATGTGCATTATGAAGCACTATTCCTTGATTGGTTTCTTGATTGTTTCTCTGTCAAAACACAAATGATTTTACAAGCGAAAAAGTTTCCAAAAGTTATGTACACATCAGACCTTGGATTCTGTTAGCCATACTTGTACTGAAAGAATGGGAGTGGTGGGTTTTCATATTTTGTAGCCTGTTTCTTTGGTTTTTTTCTCATGCTGACAGGTTCATTTGCTATACTGACATGGCACCATTCACGATTTTTTTGTAACTCTGTTACAGTGTTAGTGCCACACTACCAAGTGGCCAGTTGTCCAATGTGCCATGGCGCCGGACTGGTGTAAAATACACTAATAATGAAGCATACTTTGATGTGGTAGAAGAAGTGGATGCTATCATTGATAAAGCTGGATCTACAGTCTTTGCTGAAATACAGGGATATGTAAGAATAATATTGAAACTTTCTTGAATTTTATTGAAATTTTCATCTATATTGGTAATTAAACTCATCCTCAAGCTTGCCAGGCAAAGTTTATATCACTTCGGTTCTATAATCTGGATGATAGATATATATTTTCACGTGTATGAGTGACTATAGACAGAGTTTCTATTGGTGATTGGGTTTATTGAACTCTCACAGAAGGTAACTGCAAGTAACTATAGCGCTGCCACTAATTCACGCACTCTACAATCCACTACAGCGCCAGTCTTTTCGGTCGTCTGGTAACAGCTTCCAATGGTGGATATTCCCCTCACTCTGGGTTCCCGAACTATCCTTGTGCCTCAGCTACCAGCTTCTAACAGCAACAGCTCACAAACACAACTGCAGCAGTCCTCCTACTGCTCACCAACCAACTCCACTCCACTTCACTGCACTATACTCAACAGTACTGCACTCACTAACTGAACTGAACTAGGTCAGCTGGGTCATACGGCCTCAAAGCAGACCCACAGAGAACATAGTTTGCAGCATCTCTGTTGTTGCGTGACATCACTACAGACATGACGTGTTCCTCTGTTAGGTGTGTACAGGCCATTACCTAGCAATGGGTCAACATTCTACAGTATCATTTTGAGAGCTGTCCATTATTTTGTTATATCATAAATCTCTAAGGAAACATATTGTGACATGTTGCGCAAAGCCGAGCCCCCCCCCCACACCAGCAGTGACGCGGCGGGTGAGTCAGCGCTCCCCTCCCACCCCTCAGCGGTAACGTAACGCTCGCGTAATAGGCGAGTAATCACCCCGCATCCTGGCAGCTATGCGCGGTGACGTCACGAGCGGAGCCGAAGATAGCCGAGCCCCGTAACCGGGTAACTATGCAAGGCGAATCAACAGCGGTGACGTAACAGGATGACGTGGCACTCATTACGCAACAAGCAAGCACTGCAGCTATATAAGTGAGCTGCACAGTGGCTTCGGTTCAGTTATAAAGTAACGGTCGCCGAGTTGAAACATAACAGCCANACGAACTTAAACACGCCACAAACAATTATTGTGCATCGAGTGTTCTACTGCTACAAAATGGAAAGACAAGATATTGAAAACTTGTTCGAACGCCTAGTGACAAAACTAGACGCCTACCAAGAGAAGGCGTCGGCCGATAGAAAAACCGACAAGGAAGAAATGCTGAAAGAGATTAGGGCAAACCAAATAAAAGCAGATGCCGACCGATTGCGGATGGAAGACAGAATGGAAGCCAACCGAAAAAAAGACAGAGAAGACTTCCTGGCCAAACTAGACGTCAACCAGAAACAAACGAAGTCATGCTGACAAAATTAGACGCCTACCAAAAAAGGCGGAGGCCGATAGGAAGGCCAACAAGGAAGAATTGAAGGCCGAAATGCGATCTATGCGGTCCGAGTTGGATGATAATATCCAACATCGAGTTGAAAACATCTTGGCAATCGTTGAACACGACAAACGAAATCTCCAGGAAGACCTGACGAAGAACTACAACGAAACCTGCGCAGCAATTGACGAAACCAAACGCGAGTTCCAGGCACGGTTGGACATGGTACAAATGAAGGCCAAGTGGGGAAATACAGCAACGATCGTCGCGAGCACAGCCCAGCCACCGAAATTCAACAGGAATTCAACGTGGAGTGTATTCAGGTGACAATTCGAGACCGTGGCAGAGCACAACCAATGGTCGGACCGGGAAAAATCGACATACTTAATTACTACCCTGAAGGGTAGGGCGGCGGAAATACTACCCGGCATCCCGGCAAATGCCACTTACGAGGAAACTCTTCAGGCCCTAGAAGACCGTTTCGGGGACCAACACTTTGCAGCTGCT